TTATTAATATCAGAAGTAACGTCCTCCCATAAACTTTTAAATTTGTTTTACTTAACTCTTTAATCTGTAGTTTGGCATTAACACTTTCTAGGCGACTTCTGGGGACTTTAAACAAAAAAGAGTCATTATAAAACTATTATTAGCAGATAACCGCACCAATTCATTTTGTATGATGAGCAACATAACTCAAGCTCACAAGTATGCATTTGGTCTCTCCAACTCAAACTGGGTATATCAAGAGCATCCACTAATATAGTTCTAATCATTCCGAATAGAAACAATATATACTGAGCTGTTTTTGAAATAATTGATCACAGATCGAAAGTTCCCTCAAAGTTCAATAGATAAGTTAACGAACCTAATTTATCAAATTACAGCAATGGTTTTGCAAGTTGGAGTAACAACAAATATTGCACATTACAACTTAGAAACACAATATTGTAAACAATGAACCTAAGACAAAATCATTAGCAAGATAAAATAAGAAGTTCCCTAAGTCTGGTTGGCCATCCAGATGCATTTTCTCACTGGATAGCTTTTCTCTGAAAGCATGACTCAGTATTTTGGGGATCTTCTGGTTATTTAATAATAGTGCCTCGAGGCTGGATGCTGGATCACGCCGAGTGCTTGCTGCCCTCTCTCCCAAAATCAATCAAAGTTCTCGGTACGTTGCATTACCCGAGTTAGAGACATGCAGTTGGAACGATCTACTTGAGACCAGCCTCCTTGCCATGTACAAAAACCACATCGTCGACCTCTCTTCACACCACATAAAAACTTTTTCGAGCCCTATCCGGGGATAAGCGCTCGAAATTATACCCCCAAATTGGAGCGTAAGGTAGAACAATAGAAATTTACAAATGATCTCTAGTGTTAGCATGGCCATGTTAAAGAAAAAGTTGAATTATCTTATTCCTACGCACTGAATACTTTCAAATTTGAATTACAACCGTTTAAGAAAGAGTGCGCATTCGTGCTCAAGTTAATTCCTATAACTTTTGTACCTCGCAGATCAGAAAACACAAGAGATTCAAATAGCCCTGTCAAGCCTTTTTTTTTACAGAAAGCTTACGCCAAGGTTTCATTATCGTGCTCCCCAGACAGTTGATCTTCTTCAATGAACTCGCTCAGAAGGTTTTTCAAAATGGCACGGCAATCTTAAATGCTCCTCTTCGAAGATAGCATTTGGTTCAGATCGTGTGATGCAATCCAGCTTCTGTCGAGCTTAGTGTTATAATAGTTTTGGGATACTTATCAATATCATACTTGAATATATTGGACAGTTGTGCAAAAATATTTCAACCAAAAAAAAAAAAGAGATACACGGGAAATGCTAAGATTAGTGCAGCCAACAAATATTTCCCGAGAGAGTGTAAATTTAGTCCCGGGATCACTTGAAGTTATAATATGAGGGAAGCCTGATGAGATTGTAATCAAATCGAAGGAGACGTGAAGTATGCCGTTTGTGATGATATTGAGAACCTCCCTTCAGTGTAAATTGATATCTTTCATATGTCTACCTTGGAAAACATAGCAGATAATATATCATATCAGTGAATAACACTACAATGTATTTTGGGTTTAAAACTTATGGTAACGCAGTGACAGGATCCACAAGGAATCATAGCAAAAGAGATACGTGAAACTTTCAATGCAGAGGGAAACGTCACAAAACCATTCGAGTTTACGAATCATGAAATGAATCTGCGTCCCTGTTCTAAATCACAAACCAAATCATGGATGCCAAATCAACAGCTTATGTACTTTAGCGCGTAATCTACCTTGATAGGAAGGGAGGTGGGCTTGAATGGAAGTTAGGAGAAATGAACTCAAGCCGGCGATGCCGCTTTCGTCGCGCGATGCTCTGATGGAGATCTGTACTGTGCACAGATGTCCCTTTATGCTTGCGGGTGTAGAACAAGTTGACGGAAGGAGAATGGAAGTTCGGCGTGGCTGAGTGTCCGCTTTCGAGTCAATTAAGGGCGGCGGATAATCTATGCCAAGCGTCTGGGGGGTGGAGAACAGTCTGATCGTCGAGGAGAAGAAAATGATTGTCACCTGCATGAGAGAGGACGTGTTCCCGAGATCGAATGGGGTCAATTAAGAAAAAACGATAGCGCTCGTGATTTTGAACCGGGAAATTGGGGAATTCGTAAAGAGAGGGCTGGATCTGATTCAATGCGAGCTCGTCTTCGATGTGTGTATTAGGTTCTCTAAAGTCGGCCATATATGTCAAAAAAACCGCTTCCCTTTAACAAACACAATCGCGCATGCTCGTGACCGAAGGCGGCATGTCGGTGGATTATTCAAAAAACCCCTTGCGAAGACGAGGAACGAAGTCGGATTTCTCCTACGAATTCCGACTTTTCGCGAAATGCAGAATTTACGGTATATATTATATTATAGTATTATATAATATAAAGTAATTATAGTCATATATATATGTATATACTATTATATATCATTATATATATATATATATATATATATATATATATAATATATATATATATATATATTACAAACACCCCATCCTTAAATCATGTGTATTTGTAAAAATACTCTCGAATCATTGTTGAAAAAAACTACCACCAAATCAACAAATCATCAACTTTGTTTTGGTGAATAAAAACTTGACTATTTTGTTTATATTTTACATTGCAGTTACAAACTAGCCTATCAAAGTTGATAATTTATTGTTTTTATGCAGATACTTTCCAGGTGTCTTTCAAACAAAGAGCTTTCTTTGCATAAATGCTTAGTGGAAAATAAAACAGCCTCCCAAGGTCAATTCTAAAACATAAGAATATGTAAACTTAAGTATGTAAACAAGATTTAAAATCAATGAATTATCAATTAGAGTCAATTTGTATCTCGATATTAAAGATGTTTAAATGCACGTTCTTGTTCCTGCAGGACCACAACTTCGGTTTTATTTTGAGGTCATTTTAAATGCCCTTTAATTACTAAGTTGTGTTGTAAACATTACGGGTCCAATTTACAGCTTCCATGCTTAGCTATATATCAACAGCGTATATAGCTTTTCCTTAAGGAGAAATTCAGTCAACATCTTTCCAATAATAGGGTCAAATTACAATTAACTTGCAGTTAAAACAGTGTATATCTCACATACCGTCTGTGATCTAAATGATTGGACGGTTCCAATATGGTTCCCACAGTTTCCGGTTTGCTTGCGGGCTGGGTTATCACAAAAAAAAAGTATATCTCTCTTATTGTCTGTATTGGATGATACATTCTGGTTGCAGCAAATAAAAGCCCCTGAAAGGTGTTCCACATTGCAGGTCCAATTACTTCCAACCAAAACTCGTCTACACAGAATCTTAAGAATTACTTTCAACAAATTGATTAGAAATGGAGAAATTTGGAATCTCGTGAAAGCATGACTAGACAATTAAGCTTTAGATTTAGTATTTATATGAGAAATGTGTTGAGATTTTAATTACATACTAAATCCATAGTGGGAGGGATGATAACTGTCATAAATTTCTAGTTCCTTTTCTTTCATCTCTTTCTTTAGTTCAATTATATTAGTTTTTGGTCTGAGGAATTCTGCAGATGTGATAAACTCAAAGTTTCTCGTAGTTGTCAACGGGCCATTTCTTTCTTTCTTTTTGATTTTTTTATGTTGGTTGAGATCTGAATAAGCGTTGTTCCTTTCAAATCGTTCAATAGAACAGAATCGAACTTGTCCAAATTGTGTGACATGAGGGAATTAAACATATTTACTCTCTTTTACAATTTTCTGTGTATTTGAGATAAGGAACACAACGGATTCTATCTTGTCTCTCATTATTTAGCAAGAGACATGGAATAAGCTTTCAGATTGGATACACTAGGAAGCTTTAGAAATGAAGAAAGATATGACCAATGTGAAATGCTTCCTTCATATCCACTGAAATAATCATTATAAGGTAGTTGTGGGACCCAATCAAACACTGAATATTATAGTTAAAGGTCCATTATGTTTATTAATCGAAAGAATACCAACTCTGTTCAATAAAAAGACCATGCAACAAAACTTGAATCAGCTTTGTGGACTTCATTCTTGCATAAAACTTTCATTGAAATTTCAGTGGTACACAGTTAGGTAATAGACAACTAGTAAGAAAAGGACCGCGAGGTTGTGGAACCAGTAAGACATTGACATAACTTGGTTCGGTCCATGCTTAGATGGAAGAATGCTAACAACCCACCAAGATAGATTTATTTTTTTAAAAAAAGCAGAAGAGTCAACAAGCAAGAATCAAGTCAGTTGATGGATCTTTGTTAAAGGAAAAGTAGAAGGAAAGAAGAAAACAAACACTTACATCATTCTGTTCCATCTAAAAGATATATATATATATATA